ACATGCATATATATATATATGTGTATCATACATTTGTATGTATATACGTGACTACTAGACGTTTTCAATATGGATATATGAATATGAACAAAGGAATGTGAGTGTTTGGATATGAATAGAGTGTTTGGATATGAATAGAGTGTTTGGAAATGAATATGAACACTCATATGAACATTAACGTTATCAAGAACTAATATTGAAAGCGGCATGACATGATAATTTTCATATTCATATTCACTCACATTCATATGAAACTTTATTATTTCGATATTAGTATTGATATTAGATTAACATTTGCTAAGATATTTTAAAATATGAATATGAAAAGGCATGTTAATACAATATTAGCCCAATGCGAGTACTGCTAATATTAATGATGAATTATCCTGGATGCTCGGGCTTGGAGCTTCGGCTAAGGGCTCTGTAGGGTTGCTATGGCGCCAGATTGGCCTGTGACACAGACCTAAACCCGAAACCCTAAATCTCAATCGCTAATCCCTAAACCGTAATCCCGAAACCCCATGCAGCTCGGCTCCTTCTCCGCTTCTCCCTCTTCTGGTTGCCCACCGTTCTCCTGAAGAAACCGAGCGCGAGAGCAACAGGGCTACGCACAGTGCTTTAGGGTTTCTTGGAAAGGGTTCTGCAAGGGTTATTCAGCGTTCTAACATGAAGCTTTATGTGGGGGCCTGAGGAATTCGAACAAAACAAATGGGGTAGGGTTGAGGGAGTATTTGCAAACTCCTGCCGGAATCAAGGTATAAATCCCAATACTCCTCAGCGGCTTCCTCGGTCTTCTTCCCCTCCTCGCTTTTCTTGGCCTTCAAAATGAAGAGATCAAACAGTTTAAGGTTTAGGGCATTGTTAGAATCTGCTTGCCAATCCGACTGCCGTCTTGGCGTCGGTTTCCCAACTTGGAGCCACTTCGGGGATGAAGCTGGGGAGTGGGCTTCTTTGCGAGAAGCCGTCTTGGCCTCGGCACGAAAAGTTAAGCAACTCAGCCACGAGGCCGCCCTGGGGCAGGGGGCGGCTGGCAGCTTCCCGCGGTTTGATTCAAAAAATTGAGTGAAAAACCAAAGTCAGTGCAACCTGTCCCGGCTTCCCACCAGTTACACAGACGAACGGAGGAGGGCCTCTTTGTGGACCCTTCACCGGCTGACCGGTTGGCTGGCTGGGTCACTGTCGACTCGCCATCTCGGTCGGTCCCTCACTCGCTCACTCACCCTGTTAAGTATAGCCAGCCCAATATACCCCGAATGTTCACGATGCATTATGAATGCTTCGATGCCGAATGGCATTGGCTCAAGGACTGGACAGTACACCCCAATTTTTCTAAATGGGCCCCTGAATCACCCACCATCAGCACAACCATGTCATAGTCCTGCACACAGCCATGAAATCAAAGCCAGTCGGCTTCTGATGGCGTCAGAAAGGGTTAGAGTACGGCACCTGGATAAACAAGGACCCCCGAAAGGGACAATGTTTTAGAGAACTACCCAAGTTAGGCTAAGCTGCAAAGCCCGGCAAAACCCCAAGTTTGAAGTCAATATTGAGGAGGCCTAGCGTGCGGCACCCGAGACCGAAAGACCGCTACATACTTAGGTTCCCTTACTGTCTGAAACCCTAAACCCCATACCACAGCAGTCTGAACAACTTGCAATGATATCCCTCATAGCCCTTATATAACGTTGTCACTACGGTACAGCAGACACAAGCATACCCTGTTCGAGTTAGGAAGGCCTAGGTAAAACTAGCGCCTCGCCCCCCCGTTGAAACACTGGTATGAAGGGTTATACTACCCCAAAAAACTTTCTTCCCGACTACGCCAGGGAAATAAAAGGTTAAACTTTCAGATTGCTAAGAACCAAAAAGTTTAAAGGTTGCTTATTGGAGAACTCAGAAAAGTTAGAGGTTATCTACTCTACCACGAGGTAAAGCTTAAACCCTAAACCCCAGACCCTAAACCAAAAATGTCAAAGGTAAACTACTCTGCCACAGAGGTGGGCCTGCGCCTGCTCTTTCCGCTTCTTCGCCATCTGAAGTGCTCTCCTTCGGCTTGGGTCCTGCCATAACGGATTTAGAACTTTAGGGGTTCTTAGGCTCAAGAGCTTTGTTGCAATGCATTCTTGGGCTAACTTTCGGGGATTCAAGGGGGTTCTGGTCTTCGAAAGGGCTTGGGCGTTAGGGTTTAGGGTGGAAAGCAGCCGGGACCCCCAACCCAACAGCAAATATGGAACTGGGCCAAAAGTCGGATGCTCAGCAGAACGTCCTTGAAGTCTTGATGGGCTCTCTTCCTCGGCTTCAGGGCGAAGTGGCAAACGCCATGAGAAGCTTTTTGCTATCTCGAAATTCTACGTAAGATGTTGCCCCGAACCCTTACACCCTAAACCCAACCCTAAACCCTATAAGCCCTATAAGCCCTAAACCCTAAACCCCAAACTTCCGAAACCCCAGGGGATGGGGGAGGGGAGAGGGCCTAGGGTTCTACACTTTCAAAAAGCTTTGAGACTCTCGCAACACAACGTTGAACTCAGGCCCTTTTTAGGGAACCTAGTTTGGGGGACCAAGAAGCCCGTAGCTGCTGAGTTCATAAGCACAAGAAACAGTGTACACTTTCAGTTCTATAAGGGATCATATTCTCCCTTTTTAGGGTTTAGGGGTTTAGGGTTTAGGGTTAGTTCCATAAGGGACCATATTCTCCCTTTTTAGGGTTTAGGGGTTTAGGGTTTATGGTTTAGGGTTAGTTCTATAAGGGATCATATTCTCCCAAAAAGTGCAAAGTGTACTCATTCAGCTACGAGAAGCTCTGACATGGGAACTTGTCAAACTTGGGCTGGGGGGGTGCTTTCGACAGGCATCAGCAATCCGACTACTTAGGGTGTAGGGTTTAGGGTTTAGGGTACTAGTTTGGGTGTAGATTAGGCTTCTCTAATTTTCCGGAAGTCCCATAGTCCTGTTACATGACCCTTGAACAAGCACTAAGCAGGCCAAACGTGACGATCCCTATGCATGGATTCTGTACGTTCTGAAACTTCCCGGTCCCTGACCTCTCCTAATCCCTAAACCTCTAAACCCCAAACCTCTACACCCTAAACCCTAAACCCTAAACCCCTAAAGCTTTAAACCCTAAACCCCTACACCCTAAGCCCCTAAACCCCTAAACCTCTAAACCCTAAACCCCTACACCCTAAGCCCCTAAACCCCTAAAGCTTTAAACGCCAAAAAAACCACTCACTCCCAGAACCCGAAGCTCTCCACCCCCAACCCCCGGAGCCGGGGTCCGGAACCGGCAAAGAACTACTGTAGGGGCCTTAATTATTAGAATAGAGTTTTGGGGGTTCCTTATTTCATAATTATAGTATAATATCCCTAGGGCCTTAATTGAGGGCTTTAGGGTTTTAGGGTTCATTTGTTGTAATTATAGTAGAATATCCCCAAAAAATCCCTATTCTGATTATTAAGGCCCCGACATTACCAAACTGACCAGGTTGGTCCCGTGATGCAGTGTAGGGGTTCTAGGGGTTTCTAGGGGTTTCAGGGGTTCTAGGGGTTCTAGCGGTTTAGTAATTTCGGGCGTGCGAACAAAGACTGCGTAGACAAGATAGGCTTTATAACAGATCCTAAAGCCCAACGAATTTCACACACCCCTAACGCCTAAACCCTAAACCCCAAATCCTCAAACCCTAAACCCCGAAACCCCCAAACCCTAAAACCCTAAACCCCTGAACCCCCATATTTAAGGAAGGCCGAGAATCCACGAGCCCAACATGCGATTCCACTCGTTGTGCTTCTGGCGGAACCAATCCGATGGCCTGGGTGCAAGTCTTGGGGCCTCAATCGTTGAAACAGGGTTTAGGGGTCTAGGGGTTTAGGGGTGTAGGGGTTTAGGGGTTTGGGGGTCTAGGAGTTTAGGGGTCTTGGGGTTTAGGGGTTTGGGGGTCTAGGGGTTTAGGGGTTTGGGGGTCTAGGGGTTTAGGGTCTAGGGGTTTAGAGGTTTAGGGGCTTAGGGTTTAGGGTTTAAATTTGTGTTATACTAGACTATAGTTCTATTCCAAATCACCGTCTCTTTCTTCCGTTTTGTTACTACGACGACGAGGACTGCTGCTACTACTTTCACTATTACTGCTACTACGCTTTCTATTCCTGCTACCGCTACTGCAACTGCTACTGCTCATAACAATAATAGAAATAATAATACAAGCAAGCTAACAACAACAGCACCATCACCACCACCGCCGCCGCCGCCGACGCCCCACCACCACCACCACCACCACCACCACCACGACAACGACGACGACGACACTATAATAGTAATACAAGTGAAAATACAACACATAACAATTATAGGACCGGATAACCCCACATGAGTGTGGCTTCTTTGTGCTAGTCACGTTAAGGCGGTGGTGGTGTGGGTGGGGGTGTGTTGTGTGTGTGTGTGTGTGTGTGGGGTGCATGTGTGGTTCCCCAACGCGCGCCGCCTCTTACAGAGCACTCTAAAGCTTCTAAAGCCTCCGCAGGAGAGCGCGGTGGGGTGGGTGGGCGGACGGGCGGGATGGGGTGGCGCGGGACGCCGCCTTAAAAGCAGAAAGACTGCACAGTGATGCGGGGAATAACAACGACAAGAACACCCATAATGGTCAGAATACTACTAGTGGCAGTCGTAATCAGCATCAGCATACGATGCTACCAGGTATTGATCCGAGGATGCCAAGGTGCAGGTACCCAGAGATCCCAATACCCCTTAATTAAGGAATATACCTTGAATGATAGGGGCCTTAATATTATGATTTAAGGTCTATTCCTGAATTAAGGGGTATTGGCTTCTCTGGGTAGCTTCTACCGTCTTCAAGAGTCACGGAAAAACCCTGAGACCGGAATTCACGCCAACCGTAGCTGCCGTATGCATAACCCCAGTTTCAGATACTGCAAACCCCAAGCCCTAGACCCCAGTTACTATAACACCTAAACCCTAAGCTCCAGTTACTGCTTTCCCATGATGTATGAAGTAATGGTAATAAAAAATAAAAATCATAGGAATAGTAACCAGCCACGATTTTCAGCATGATCCTTTCAGCAGTGCCAGTCCTAGGCGAGACCTTGGCCCACGGCTGCAGACCCTCTACTCGCTGCGTCATCTTTCGCTCCAGAACCTAGGCGAAGAGGGGCCTTAATACTTAGAACAGGGCCTTTGGGCATATCATATGGTAGCAGTGACAAGAATCCCTGAGAGTTGAGGGTTTAGGGGCTTAGGGGGTTTAGGTATGGACAGATCAAGGAACCTTTTGGAAAGACTGTTCTGGGAAGAGTGAGGTGAGACGGCGGAGCGGGTGTGGGGCTTTTGGAGGCTTTTTGCAATGCGAAGCTGCGCATACGAGTCTGCTCTGGGAGATCTGAGGCACTCGCACCTCGAAGCCTTTACATGCAGTGGAGCCCTAACCCTCATAATATAGGAACCTGATTAAGAAACCTTGGGTCTTTATTAGGGTTCTTAATATGGATCCCAATATCTTGGGGAAATAGGACCAGGGTTTCTTAATCAGGTTCCTACATTAGCCTAAACCCTAAACCCCTAAATGCAAAGGCCTAAAAACCCTAAACCATTCATGAACTTGGAGCCCTAACCCTAATACCCTAAACCCCTCCTGGTCTTTGCAGAGCGATTGAGCCTGTGGCCCACTTCTGGAGGTACTCCTTACACTGCGCCTCCTTGTACCACAGGAAGGTCACCTTATCGCAGCCTGACGGAGGAAGTACTACTATTGTTGCTATCAGTACTAGTATTATTAGTGTTCTTAATCTTAATACTACAGCTAGTGTAGTTGAATGTAAATGTATTATGAACATTTTTTGTAATAGCACTAACATAGTCTTCTACCGCAACAGCCAGCTTCCCAGTCACATTGGATAGGTTCTGCCTCGACGAGCTGTGCCATCCGCCAGCGTAGATGAAAGACTTCGTGACGCTTTGGTAGCCCCGTACCATTAAAGGAAACTACAGGTGGGGAGTTTAGGGTATATAGGGCTTCTATAAGGCTTCTATACGGTATATAGACCTTCTACAAGGCTTCTATAACGGCAACTACCCACCTGAAAATGTCCTAGATACTAGTACTTAGACATAAGTCAAGCATCGTGCTGTTTCGACTCCAACATGCATCCCCGACAGTTCTCAAAACTCGCCCCGCAGCAACACCTAGCAGGACAAACCGGCTCCTGGGAGCCCCTCTGCCCTAAAAAGACCCTAAACAAAAGTCCGAAACCCTAAATCCTAAACCTCTAAACAAAATCCCAAACCCAAAAGCCTAAACCCTAAAACCTAAATAAAGACAAACCCTAAAGCCTGAACCCGTAAACCTTAAAAAACCCGAAATCGGCAGGCCTTCCTCCGAAGATGGGAGTGTGAACTTCTCGTAGGACGAAGACATATCCTGCTCGGGTTCTTGCCGGGGTTTTGAGGGTTTTTGCTTGCATGTAGGGTCTTATGGTCATGACGGTTGAGGGTTTAGAGTTTAGGGTTTGAGGTTCAGGGTTTTGGGTTTAGGATTTGGGGTTTTGAAGGTTTTTTGTTTGCGTGTAGGGTCCTATGGTCATCCTGGGAATCCAAAAACCTACCCTTTTTGGGGGTTCTACCCTCTAACTAAGGGGACATAACCTACTACTTTGTAGGGTTTAGGGGGGTCACAAGATGAAGGATGAGTCTACAGCGCTTTGGGTCCTAACTTTTTTGGGCATTTGTACGGAGGATCCTACTATTTGGGGCCTCATTTTCGTGATCCCATCTTCGCCTTGAGCTCCCATAGTTGTCAGGCTCCCTAAACCCTAAACCTTAAACCCTAAACCTTAAATCCTGAACCCTAAACCCTAAACCCTAAAACCCTAAACCCTAAAACCCTAAAGCCCTCTCCTTTGATGTCAGGTCTGGGACATCCTTGCGGCGAAACCAGAGCCTCGGGCTTCGTGGCGTTGGCTTTTTCGGTGCTTTGGGGGCAAGGCTCAGGGCCTTTCTTTTTTCAGCCTAACTATCCGTGACCCCAAACCCTACAAAATAGTAGGTTAAGTTATGACCCCTTACCCCCCCTAAACCGGTAGGTTTTTGGATTCTCAGGGTAATCCCAAACCCTAAACCCCTAAACCCTAAACCTCTAAACCCCCAAACCCCTAAACCCCCAAACCCCTTAACCCTAAACCCCAAAACGGTAGGTTTTTGGATTCCCAGCTTGGAGCTTTCGAGAGGGACTCGCAGATCGCAGGATCGGCCCTAATGTAGGGGCCTTAATAAGTAGAATAGGGTTTGGGGTATATTATACTATAATTATAGTAAGGGACACCCAAAAACACTATTCTAATTATGAAGGCCCTTACATTAGGGGTTTCGGTCCTTGGAACTCGGATCAGGTTTCCATGTCTCTCCGGCTTCCGAAGTTCATGCCCGGTTTAGGGTTTTTAGGGTTTAGGGGTTTAGGGGTTTAGGGTTTAGTGTTTCGGGAACAGTGCTTAAGCTCCCTGGCGCTTGCCATGGGGTAGACCAAAGGAGGATTACGTCGTTCATGCCAGAGTCGCCATATCCCTTAATTCAGGAAATGTACCTTAAATCTTATTAGGGGTTCCTATTATAATTTCCCATTATATTGTTCTGAATCTTATTAGGGGCTCCTATTATATATCTTCAATCTTATTAGGGGTTCCCCTATTATAATTTAAGGTATGTTCCTTAATGCAAGGATATTGGAGTCTCCGGGCATTGCCAGAGTCTTCCATGGTATGTCTGACACTATAGTAGAAGCCCAAAAGTTGGAAGCCCAATAGCCTCAATCCTTAAACAAAATGTATAGGGAATCCCAGCACTCATTGTCCTTGATCCGGTTTCCAACTTTCTGGGATTCACTCTAAGGAGATCAAATGTCGTCCCAAGCAGGGCATACCCGAGCAGAGCCAGGATAACTGGGATCTTGCTGCTAAGGAACTGTGCAAACGTTAAGAGTACCAGAAGACTGGAGATGTTTTGGCAGATATCCTGGTAACTTAACCCTATAAACCCTTAACCTCGAAACCCTAAACCCTGAACTTTTCGTAGATATCCTGGTAACTTAAACCTTAAACCCTCAATAGAACCCCACACCCGAACCCAGAACCAGCAGAAGGAGGCCGAGACGGAGTCCACAGGCGGGTAGTTCTCTAAATTTTGATCCCTTTTAGGATCCTTTTTGCAAGGGTGCCGCACTCATACGTAGGGGCCGAATACCTTAGCCCAAAAAAGGCTAGCCTTTTAATTATAATTAGTAGGATTATAAACGCCCACAAAAGGTTAAAGGTTACCTACTCAGCCCCTTAGAATAATTTTGAGACCGAAAAAAGGACCCCAATTTAGGGAACTACCTCATGCAGTGTACCAGCCGAGTGGCTTCTTCTCCTCCTCTGTGAGCTCCACGTGGACCTGCAGGTGCGCTGAGGGCTTACAACACATTTAAGTGTTATACCATGTAAGCAATCCTCAACCCTCAACCCTAAACCCTGAACTCATAAGGCCTGATTGGGTTTCAGACGGTTTTATAAGGTTTCGTGGAAGGCTGTGGAGCCTCCAAAGCTGCGTCCTCTCTGCTCGGGAGCCCTGCTTCCCAAAGAGCCCAATACCCCTTAAGTAGGAAATGTACCTTAAATCATAATATTATAGAGCCCCCATAGTTCAAGGTATATTCCTCAATTAAGTGGTATCGGGTTCTTTGGGTTTCTCTGTCAGAAGCCCGAAATCCTGAACTCCAACACCGTAAAGCCCCGCAGAACACCCATAGTATAGGGGCCTTCATACTTAGAAGAGGGCTTGGGGGTATAGTATACTATACTTATAATAAGGAACCCCCCAAAACCCTATTCTAATTATGAAGGCCCCTAGAGTATACAATCCTTAACACTGCCAGTGTCGTTCAAGGTGGTCAGCGCAGCGGAGTCCACGGCCAGTAACCCAAGTTAGCCCTCCACGCTAGGGTCCCGGGTCCTTCTTAGCTGCTGAGTTCAGAAGCACAAAATAGTGTACACTTGCATTTCTATAAGGGATCATATTATCCCAAAAAGTGTACACTTTCAGTTCTATAAGGGATCATATTATCACCAAAACTGTATACTTACAGTTCTACAAGGGATCATATTGTTCCAATAAAGTTTCAAGTGTACTCCTTCAGCTATTTTAGCCTTAAATAGGGGTTTCTGTACACTACGGAGGGGGCTACAGAGTCACGGCTACGAAGTCTTTGACCGCGAGGAAGCTTCCGGAGGCTTTCACGAGAAGCCAATACCCCTTAATTAAGGAGTATACCTTAAACTATGGGGGCCCTATAATATTATGATTTAAGGTATGTTTCCTTAATGAAGGGGTATTGGGCTCTCTGGGTTTGACGAGCCTCCTCCATAGGTTCATCCTTGGAGTCCTCGACCTGGTGCAGAGTAAGGGATTTGGGCTTCTATAAGGCTTCGATGATTAAAGGAAACTACAGGGTTCCTTTTAAGGGTTTAGGATTTAGGGTTTAGGATTCAGGGTTTTGTTTTGGTGCGGAGAAAGGGATTTGGGCTCTGTTCATCTAGGTTCCCCAGACACCCCTTAATAATCTAGGTTCCCCTCTAACCCCTTAATAATAAGGGTACCCTTTTTCCTAATATTCGGCTTTAATAAGGAGACCCGCTGCAGAGAAAGGGCTTGGTTAAAGGAAAATTCAGGGTTCCTTTTAAGGGTTTAGGGTTTAGGGCTTAGGGGAATTAGGGTTTAGGGTTTAATAGGCGGGGGGTTTAGGGTATATAGGGCTTCTATAAGGCTTCTATAAGGTAGAAAAGACGTTCTATAAGGCTCCTATATTCGGTAACTACCCCCCTGAAAATGTCCTAGAATTGGGCTCTGTTCATGCATTGTTACTATCTTGGCTGACTTCTGAACCCCTCCTAAAAGTGAAACTGTTAGCCTACATATTATATAGTTCATATCGAAACCCAAAAAGTTAAAGTTCCAAGAGCCCACCACAAACAAAGCCAAGTTATTGTTACTACGGTCGTTGCGATCAGGAACCTTAAGATAAAGCCTTATAGGGCTGTGCTCTAAACCCTCAACCCTACCAGGGGGGGCATCTGAGAGCCCAATACTCCTTAAAGAAGAAATATACCTCAAAGTATAGGGGCCTTAATATTATGATGTAAGGTATATTCCTTAATTGGGGGCGCTCTCTAGGGGCACCTGAGAAAGAGCCTTCGTGCCGACTTCGCTCGAGGAGGAGGTTTCGGCGTTAGGGTTGGTCGGGGGCCCAGCTGAATCTATAAGGGTCTCTATAAGGGTTCTATAAGGGAATGAAGGAATATACCTTAAACTGTAGGGGCCTTAATATTAAGATTTAAAGTCTTCTCGGCACCAGGCTTTCCAATCCACGTCGTATCTTGAACCGTCTACAAAATTAAAGCCCCAAACCCCCAAGCAATGCCTTTGCCTCTGAAAAAACGCTTAAGCAAACTCCCAGAGAACCCAAAACCCCTTCATTAAGGAATATAACTTAAATCACAATATTTTGGCCCCTATAATTTAAGGTATATTCCTTAATTAAGGGGTATTGGGATCTCGGGGCTCAGCTTTAACTCCCCAAAGCTTCGGCGCCTTCCCCTCTTCCTTCGGCTCTTCTTTCTCCTCGGGCTCCTCCCCCATCGCCTCGTCCTTGCTCTCCTTCGCATCCTCGGCACCTCCTTCCAAGAGCTTGCAGGGTAGCTCAACATGAACTTCCCCATGTGGGGCCCCAATTACTAGGTTCCCCAGTAACCCCTTAATAATATGGGTACCCTTTTTCCTAATACTCGGCTATAAGGACTTCGTGGTATATACTAAGACTTTGTACCACATCGGAATCTCCAAGACTCGCGTTCCGCCTCGTGCTATGCTCCTATCTACTTACCAGGTATATGTATATGCATGCAAGTTTACAAAAAACGTTGCTGTTCATATCATATACCGTATGTGATATGCTATCGACCTACTTTAAACACGCAGCGCTGATGCCCTTTCCCTCCTCGCCCTGAACCCTCGGAAACCTCAACCCTGCCTAACGTCAAAGGAAACTACAGGTGGGGAGCTTAGGGTCTACAGGGCTTCTATTATAAGGCTTGTATAAGGTATATAGACCTTCTATACGGCTCCTATAACGGTCACCACCCACCTGAAAATGTCCTAGATAACGGGTCATGGGACTTTGTGGCAACCGCTGTAAAGTTGGGTATTTGAGCTGCTGAGTTAATAAAGACCAAAAAAGTCTAATGTAGGAACCTGATTAAGAAACACTCTACATTAGACTTTCACTTCTATAAGGGATCATATTCTCCCGAAAAGCTTAGAGCGTACTCATTCAGCTACTAGGGTAGCTGAGTTTCGACTACCCATAAGAGCAATCAAGGTACCTACAGGCTTGCCTACTTCTGTCCCCTGATCTTCAAGGTAAACGTCAAACCCCTAAATCAAGGACTACTGGGTTCTGGGTTTAGGGTACATGTTTAGGGTTTTAGGGTACATTCCGTTTAGGATTTTAGGGTTTAGGGTTTAGGGTTTTAAGGTTTAGGGTTGCCAGGATCAGGAAGCCACGTTAATTCACTACAAAAGCCTAGCATGGTAACCCAAAGCAAGTTCCTGACCCAAACCTCTAAAACTCTTTTTTGTAACCCTTGCAGTAACCCTGAAAGTACCCCAAGCCCTTACAATTGGTGGCAACTTAAACTAAATTCTTTAACAAGAGCCCAACCCCAAACCCTAAAACCCTAAACCCTAAACCCTAAAACCCTACATCCAAAACCTTGAAACCCTAAACCCTAAAACCCTAAAGCCCTAAATCCCTTAAGCCCTAAAGCCCTACATCCTTAACCTTAACACCCTACACCCTAAAAACCCTAAACCCTAGAACCCTACATCCTAAACCTTACAACCCTAAAGCCCTAAAACCCTAAATCCTAATCCCTTAAAACCCTAAATCCCAGACTCATGGACTTCCAAAGACTCCGACACCCAGGAGGGCTCCTTCTGCTCCATTTCCCTCCTGCAGGGCTAATTCTGGGCTTTCGGGCTTAGGTATTAGGGTTGGGGGTTTAGTTAGGGTTTAGGGGTTTCGGGTTTAGTTAGGACGGTTAGGGTTTAGGGTTTAAGGTGTTGGGATTGAGGGGCTTAAGTTGCAAAGGGATTTTAGAGCTGTTGGGGAGTAGGGTTGGGACTGCAAGATGGGATTGAAAATTGCAAGGTTGGGTGATTGGAGCCTGCAGCTATTACCCTTAACCCTAAACCTTAAACCCTTAACCCTAAGAGTCACCATGTTCTTCCGTGAACCCCGGGATCCCTGATCACTGCAGCCCGGCAGCGCAGGCCCACTGAGAACACCAACACCGGGGGGGGGGGCGCATAGGATAAGAACAGGGTTTAGGGTTTAGGGGTTTAGGGTTCAAGGGTTTTCTTTACTACGAATTATTCAGACTTTCTTCCCCAGCATCATCTTGATAGTCAAAGGCACCTTTCTGCCCGTCTCTCGCTAGTCTGATGGAGGAGGCCCAGAAGAAAAAGAGCAAAATGGTTCTGCGTGTGAGCCTGAAAGACCACACAAACCTGCGCAAACCCTTGTTGAACCCTGGATATACTTAGCTGCTGAGTTCATAAGCACAAAAACGGCGTACACTTTCAGTTCTAAACATAGTATCCCAAAAAGGTTTAAAATGTACTCATTCAGCTGGAGCTTGGGCTTCAGCCCTATGGGCGGTCTTACTGATTATTCCGATGCGAGTTGTGCAGACGCCCCGAACATAGGGGCCTGACTAATTAGAGTCGGGTTTGGGCGCGTAGTATACCCTATGATGAGAACAAGGAGCTGTAAAGGGATGAGGTGGGTAATTATTTAGGTCGCTTATTACCACTTGTTCAGTATCATGCTTAGCCTTTCGGAGTATATTGGGATTATAGTACACCAAATCTTAAGACCGAAACCTAAACCCCTAAACCCTAAACCAAAAAAGGTTAAAGGTTACCTACTCTACCATGAAGAACCCTTAAAGCACCCTTATAGAGCCCTTATCTGTAGCCAAGGAAATAAAAGGTTAAACTTTCAGATTACTACTGAATAATAAGAACCCAAAAAGTTTAAAGGTTGGGTATTGGGAAACTAAGTTAGTCTTTTTGCTGGCCAGGTGTAGCACTTCTAGCAAGCGCTCAGCGGAGTCTCTTGTGTAGCACTCTTTGCCCTCGGCGGCCGTCTCAGTGCTCGATGCGGTGAGCCTGCCATGAAGCCGTGCACATAGTACAGCACGGGAACGTACTGCAGTGAACCCGACGGGAAGGTCTTCTTGTACCGGTGGAGGCGCTGGACTGCGGCTGTTTGATCAATTCCATCTGTACACTCCACGGAGCTCTTTCCCACCTTGCAGAAGGTGTCCCCAAAAAAGTTAAAGGGTACCTGCTCTGCTACTACCTTCCAAGCCTCACAGAGCCCCCTTATAGAACCCCTGACAGTGCCGCAAAAAAGGGGTAAAAAGGTTACCTACTCTACTAGGAAGGCGCTTTCCAAACCCTAAACCCTCGAGAACAGGATATATAGAAATTGTCTGAATTGAGCTTCGAACATTCTTCCCCCCCTTCTATGCAACCCCAGCCCCAGCCCAGCCCAGCCCAGCCCATTCCAAAAATCACACGTGAAAAAACATGTGAAAACTTCCGCTCAAAACGTTTCGCTCAAACCTCTGACCACAACCCTATACAAGTTCTAAACCTTAAACCTTAAACGCCTAAACCCTAAAACCCCTAAGACCCCTAAACCCTAAAACCCCTAAACCCTACATCCCTAAACCCACAAACCCTATATACGTTCTATAAACCCTAAACACCCAACCCCCTACACCTTATACTCTATACCCTAAACCCACAAACCCTAAACCCCTAAACCCACAAACCCTATACCCTAAACTCTAAACCCCATATACCCTAAACCCTAAACCCAAGACCCTATACCCTAAACCCCTACATCCCTAAACCGACATACCCTAAACAAGTTCTATAAACCCTGAAGAACCCCAGCCCAAAAAAGGTTAACCTTTTGAACTATAATAGGATTATATAAGGCCCAAAAGGTTAAAGGTTACCTACTCAGCCCCGAAGTGTACCCCAAAACCCCGAAACCCCTAAACCTTATACCCTATACCCTAAGCCCCTATACCCTAAACCCACAAACCCTATACCCTAAACCCTACATCCCTAAACCCACAAACCCTAAACAAGTTCTACTAGACCCAGGAGAAACCTAGGAATAAAAAGGGTGCCCTTTTTGGTTTAAAGGACTTTATAAGGGAACCTGAACCCTGAAAAAGGGAATAAGGGCCTACTCTGGGTCCTAGTCTATAAACCCTGAAGAACCCCAACCTTCCTTGTCCTTTTTGAAATAATAGACAGATCCCTATAGCTATATTCCTTAATAGGAGCCCTTTAAAGGAGGTATACTATCGATCTATCTATTTTGGGGGGAACCCATTGAGAAGGACAAGGGGGACCCCAACCTTCTCTGCTTCTTCTCGGTGCTTCTGTTCTTCCAGGCGCCTGGGTTCGTCCGGGAGGGGGCGACACTTCAAGCGCTGGAGGGTTTAGTTTTTTTTAGGGTTTTAGGGTTTGGGGTTTTAAGGTTTAGGAAGTAGGGCTTTCGGGTTTAGGGTTGAGGGGCTCAGTTTAGGGCTTAGGGCTAGGGCTTAGGGGCTTGGTTTAGGGTTTCGGGGCTTGCGGGTTTCTGTCTAACTTCCCCTCCAGTTTCGTAGGGGCAGGCAAGGGCGAGTTTTTGGGATTAATTAGACATGCCCAGCCAGGCAAGGTTACATACTCCACTACTAAGCTGTTTTGTTTTGCTTTTTGCCACGCTTCTTCCTTCTTTTGGGCATTGGCCTTGATCCAGGAATCAAGCACAGCGGCCTGAGAATCAGGATTGTGTCATTCTATACAGAGATTCTGAGGGAGGATTTTTGTTAAACTGCTGAACCCTACGAAATCGTGTAAAGACCTTGTAACATCCTTCTTACTTGGGGGTTGCCGAAAATAGGGGACCCTCATCTAGTACCCTAAATAGTAGGACCCTTATTATAAGGACCCCAAGATA